ATAAATATTTACAAATGCTATATCCTTTGTTGGGGTGGCCCCTTTACCTAACACCCCTCTTTGTCTTACCAGTCTTAGTTTGAAAGTCGATTTTGTCTGATGTAGGTATTGCCTCCTGCTGCTTTTTAATTACATACAATGGTGATCACTTAGCACAAGCCCATACATAGGCTACGCTATGAAGCTGAGCAAAATTTTTCTAAAATATCAATCAAAATAAATCCAATGAACTATACTGGAGGAAGGACTGAATTACCTTATCATTCTCTCTGGAGAAAATATTACAAAGTTACTACCAATGAGAAGGCCGAGTAAGCAATCAAAAAATACGTAGGGGATAAAAAAAAGGTGTACCAGGAGGTTAATTTCAAAAAGCTCTATTTCCTGGAGTCTGTGATGCTTACGGTTTTTAAATACATGCTCACTTTCCAGTCTGGTGCGTCTGTAGCTGGGAGGTGCCTTTCCTGCTCGGCTCTCCTAACTGCGCAGGGACCCCGGGGCGAGGAGGGGCGCGGCCGGGAGGGTCTCTGCTGTCCCTCGCAGCCGCGAGGCCCCCCGCTCGCCACCCAGACGTCTCAGGCGCACGACGCGGGGGATCACACGGCTTTCACGGGACCGTCGCTATCGGTCAGTTAGCGGGAGCCACCGGCGGAGCCTCCTCCCGGCCGCCCGGCGAGGCGGGGCCGGAAGCCCGGCGGGAGCGGCAGGGAAAGCGGCTGAACCTGTTTGAAAGGCCCAATCGGCGCCCTGCCTCTTGGCGCCAGCCAAGGGGAAACCCGAGGGGCGGGCAGGCGGGGCGGGAGCCGCCATTTGAACGACGCGCCGGGAAGGGCGGTGCGGACCCCGGCCGGCGTCGCAGCGCGCGCCTCCGTGCGCCATGGAGGGCGAGGGTCTCGGGGACGACGCGCTGCTGCGGAAGCTCAGGAACAGCCGCCGCAGCTTCCAGAGGCGCATGCAGCAGCTGATGGAGAAGGTGCGGGTCCCGGCGGCCCTCCGGGGCGAGGAGGACGGGGCTGGGGCCAGCGCAGGGGCGGCGGGCGCGATGCAAAAGTCCCCGGAAGTGGGGGCAGGGAGGGCAAGCGAGGTTGGAGAGGGGGACGTCCGGGGCGGGGTCTCCAAACGTCCAGGCTCGTGCGGGCGCCTCCCCAGCCCCGGACAGGGGCTCCCCCTGGCCCTCGGGCTTGACAGGACCCCCTTCCTCTCCCCACAGTACAACCAGCCCTTCGAGGATGCCCCGCTGGTGCACATGTCCACGCTGACCTACGAGACGCCGCAGGGTACGGAGTGCTCCCCCGTTCTGATTATTTACGGTTAAGAGTGTGAACAGAAAAGTGGCTAGTTTGAAACGCTGTCCCGGTTCTCCCATGAAAATAAGCCTTGTGTACCTTACAGGAACTAATTATAAACCTATAAATTATTTCAACAGAATTACTTATTAAAACTATTCTGAAGACATGTAGATGTAAGCTGGTTTAAAATGTCCCTGCCCAGGTTGCATCCCAGCTGACCACTTAGCCTGGCAGTTCGGGCGGGTTGCTTTAGTCAGGCTGTCTTCGTTTCTTCATCTGTAAAATGGAAAGATGGTGACGATATCTACCTGCTGGGACGGTGTAACAGTTGGAGTGCTAGTGAAGCTCGTAGAACAGTGTCTGGCCCTAGTGAGCATTCCTCTTGACCCGTTGTAACTCACCCTTGAGGTTCTGAGTGCTTGGAATTTGACCTGAACATAGGGAGAAAGAACCGCGCTGTTTAATGATGTATGTTACAAACTGTCTTAAGTCTCATGCATTCCCTTTGGTAAATAAATAGCTGGAGAACGTTTTTTACTGGTGAGGTCCGTTCCTCCCATTCAGCCCAATTACCAATGCATTACATAACGATAAAAGCAAATCTCGGATCCAGTTCTGCTGTGCATTGGACAGACAGGCACGAAAAGGTTCCTAACACCTGCTCCTTAAATTAAATGAAGCCTTAGTTCTCTGTGTTTTTAGCCGACCCAGCCATACATTGGGTGAAAAGCTAAGAAAGGCAGAAGCTAAGGTGTTCGGCTGCAAGCTTTCTGGTACTCTCTGGTCTGTGTCAGTTGGTGACAGTCTAACCTGAGGGCAGGACTCAGAGCTTTTTAGGAATCATTGCTGAGGATGTCATCAATAGCCTTTATTCTTATGGCCTGTTCATGCAAGTATAGGCAGTGGCTGGGATATATAACCAATCCTCAAATCTCAAATACCACTGATTTCCAGAGTGAAAGTGATTTCTGACTCCAGTTTTATGAGGGTGGTGACTGGAGCATCTGAACTCCTTGAGAGCAGTCACACTTTAGCATGTAGAAGACCCAGGCTGTAGAGCTTAAGCCACAGATTCCTGGGCCCCTCACAGCCTATACTAGGTGTGAGTTCAGGAGGTCTGCATTCTGACGAGCTCCTGGCCGTTGATAGCAGGGGTCCCCCTGGTCTGTTGCTCAGCCTGGAGAGATGCCCGATGAGGGGAGAGGCCTTTCTGACCAAATGCTGGCTGACCGCCCTTATAGCATGAATTCTCAATTAAACACAAAAACACAGGGGTGGATCAGAACCAATATTCCACACAGCAGACAGCAGGAAGTGACTGTATTGGCAGCTAACCATGTGCCCTGCACTTCTAAGAGTCTCCATGTTTTTGATTTTCAACAACCCTGAGAAGGAGGCACTGTTCTTAGAATCATGTCATTGAATAGCAGAGGATACAGCAGAGAGAGTAAGGAACTTGCCCCGTGTCATTTAGCCAAAGTGGCAAAGCCTTGATTTGACCCCAGGCACATTTGCTGAAGTAATACTGTTCTGGAGAAACCACACCGCACTGTAGTCAGAGGCATAGGCACTCCCCCAGGTGCGCAGCTTGGCCCCCCGCCACGTGGGTGAGTGGCCTGGGCTGGCTGCAACACCTCCTCCTTGTCTCCCTCCTGTGCACTGAACTTAGTGAGTGCTTAGCCCACAGGGAGTTAGGAGACCGGTGGGGGTTATATATAAGTCAGCTGTGTACTGAGGTGCACCTGGAAAGTTTAGAATGGATCTTGGAAGATAGTGACCACCCTGTAGGTTTCTGCTGCTGGTAACATTAACAGCCACCTTAAGCCTTGAAACCCAGTGATCCCTTCTTACCAACTTGAATTTACCTAGGAGCAAATGGAGGTTTAGAAAGAGATTAAGTAACTTGCTCAGGTTCTGCTAGCCAGTCAATAAATGGTGGGAGTCCCAAATGCGGTGTTTACCCCGGTACTTAGGGCTGCTTTATACATAGAATGTATAGATTGCCATCAGAAAGCACTTGTATGGGTTAGAGAGGTTGTCCTTGGAAACCTACTCTTTCTGTCTACGTGGCATGTAGATGACCTTACGTATATTATATATGTATAATATATGTACGTTTGGGGGGAACAGTGCCTTGGTATATGTATGCTCCTAGTTGCCATTTAGCTCCAGCTTGATGCAGTTTTACAAGCTGCTGCTTATTAGGTAGGAGAGATTTTTGTCTAGTCTTGATTTTTTTTTTTAAACCTTTAACTTCACAAAGATCAAAATCAACAGAATATCAGAAATAGGGCTTGATTTTAGTATTATATCTTTCTTTTGCCTTTGGTTTTCTTTGGGTACAGATAGAACAGAATCAACGTTTGAGATTACTTAAATTTTTATTTCATTTCTTTTCCGAAGGATTGAGAATTTGGGGTGGAGGACTAGTAAAGGAAAGAAACAAAAGACAAATTCAGGTATTTATTGTCACATTTTATTGCCGACAGCTTTGCCATGGAGAAATATTTGATGTGAACAAGAGTGTGTGGGAACTTCCAGAGGCCACCACGGGGCACTTGTTCCCAGGTTTCCTCACCTGAACTACTGTCTTCCTGTTTTTAAGTATTTCCGGAGAGACTTTTCTTCTGCTTGTCAAGTGCAAGAGGAGCCATGCGATGCTCAAGCTTACACCCTTTCTGTCCCATTTGTCCTCTGCCATTGGGTGAGGGGCTCTCAGAACAGGGCCCCACGTGCAAAGCTGGGCCAACGGGACAGACCTCTCCCAGGCCCAGCTTCAGCCCCAGCAGCAAGCTTACTTTGTTGGGCCCAGAAAAGACCAAATCCAGTTCCTTCTAGAAAAGAAAAATGCTTTTTCTCCTCTGAAAAGAGAAATTTGGAGAGGGTGTAGCATGCAGGTTTGTGCTACTTCCCTTCCTTACCAAACTACCTTTCAAAACCCAGGTGTGGGGTTTTTCTCCCCCAAATTTATTGATGGACTGCAGCTAGGCATCTGGCACCTTCGTTGTAGGTGTAAGAACAGCTTGTCTTCCTACTGTGGAGTCTTTTGCGATAGGAACTTTTGTAAGGACATCTGATATTCTCTTATTCATCGCTTCTCAGCTGAGGTACCTGCCCCCAAGAATGAAACATCAGGGTTAGTGTTCCGAAGTAATTCACAGCAATTCTGAAATCAAATTTCTTCCTGAATAATTATTTTAGTATAATACATTCAGTTATACAAGTGTTAGAAATACATATAATTACCTAAAATTAACCTGACTTCTATAGTTGCTAATGGTATTTTAGTATTATGTGATCCTTTATAATACACATATTTAGGTACTTACTTTACCCTCTTTACCCTAAAGGGACAGCCCTTACCCATGTCCGCACTCGTGCATGGCTAGGGTGATTCCTAAAGGATGTTAGCCAGTCTGGCATCTTGAAATTCTCGAATTTCACTGAGGAGAGCCCGTTTATCACATTGATTATGATCATTAGTGAGGCCAGTGGCATAGCATAGGCTCTAGAGAGAATAACCGACTGCCCCTCAGGCTGGCTCCACACGCATAGCGTCACACGCAAGATCACAGAAGGCCCCCCAAGGGTCTTGAATTTCTGAATTCTGCCTGCTGATCTGACAGTTCTGTGCTATTGTGTTGGTTTTATGTTGCCGCCATACGCAGCTGGGTCAAGCCCTTCCACCGTGCCTTTGAAGTAGCAGCTCTGGGTACACTGGGGAAGAAAGCAGTTCCTTCCTAAGGGGAAACTCTACCATCTATGTGTTGGGAGTCTTGAGGCCTTTAACCAGAAGGTCCTGGAGGAGAAGCCTCGTGAAACTTCTATAGCAAAGGAAGATGGGAAGGGTGGCTACTTCACAGTGGCTTTGAAATGTGTCATTACTGACATGAGTGTGTCTTCATCTGCTTCCACACTTTGAGGACTTCCCTGTGAAGACGGTCAGCAGGAAGGACAGCCCCGAGCAAGCCCCCGCCAGAGGTCCCAAGCAACTCCGCACACGAGTCCTGGGAGTGGGTGAGTGGCCCCTGTGCTAGAAAGCGGGTGGGAGGGACACGTGTCTCTGCTATAACATGTGAAGTCTAGGTTCCACACTGTGGCTTTTTCTAAGAGTATTTTAAAAACTAAAGCAGCGTAGAGGGCGTGGTTACTTCCTTCTGAGCTCCCTGCAGCAGCTGTCCTGCTCGGTCATATCCGTGGTCTTGACACGAACAGCACTCAAATGTCCTTGAATAATGAATGCGCATACCCGATATTTTTTAACTTTCTGCAAAACAATAAAATGCAATCTTAAGCCCTTAATAAGACTGGAGGTTCTCCCTGAGGATGGTGGTATGCGCCCCTAACCCCCATGATGCGTCTCCTGCCTCTGCCGCCCTCCTTTCCCCTTCTTGGAGGGGCTCCTCTCCCTCCCCTCCACCCGTCTTGCTGCCTGGACCCTGGCCTGTTTGCCAGAAACCCACCTACCACCCACTTTCTCTCTCCCACCCCTCCTAGGCCCTGGGATGCCCCACCAGTGGTCAGCATGCTCACGTTTCTCCATAAACACACCGAGCATACTTTGTGGGCCCCCTTGGCCCCGCTGCCTCCCTTTGCTCAGCGTTCCTTTTACCACACTTGAAGGGCCACACTCACTGCCTCCACGCTCTCACCTTCCAGGTCCTCCACAGCCAGTTCTGTTTGGCTCCAGACTGTGCTGGAAGGTGGAACTATCTGTGATGTGGGGGTTTTATCCCATCACCCTCCAGGTGGCATTTACAGCTTCTTGAAATTCTGTGCCTTCTGGGTTCTCCTCCCCCTCAGCCTCCTCCCCACTGCCAGCCCACCTCCCATCCCCATTCAGTGCCCTTTCTTGAGAATTGGTCTGAGCCCCTAACTCTGGCAGAACTCCCAGCCCAGGTACTGTCTACATGTGTCGGCTGCCTAGTAGCTGCTCTTGAACACCTTGTCTTGTCTAAACTCTGCATTATCTGAACTGAAAGAATCAACCTGGCTGACTCGCCCTCACTGTCTCTCGTGTAGAATGAGCCAGAAGTCCAGCCCCTCCCTCGTGCCTCACATGCACTGTCACTGTCCTGTGAGCTTTGCCACCTGCCATCTCATGTCCCCCTGCCCCTGAGCCCCCACAATACCAGCTCCTGTCACCGCCTGGCTCACCCTGCCCTGCCAGCACCTTTGAATGTGCAGATCTGGTCATGTCACTCCTCTGTTTAGAGCCCTGCAATGGCTTCCCATTGCTCTTTGGATAAAAAGCAGAATCCAGACCATCCCTGACCTGCCCACAGTCTTCACTGCCCCCAGGAGGCCCCCTGACCTCAGATCAGAGCAGACGCCCAAATCTACCTCAGCTCTGTACACCTGGCTTTTCCCCTGCAGCAGCTGAACACCTGTGTGATTACATCAAAGACACCCGTTTCCTGGGGACCCCGGCCCTCCGCAGCCCTTGTCCCCATCCCCACCCTTGAGGAGCACTCCTGTTTGCAGGGTTCTCTGGGTTACTAATCAGGACAGTGACAGGCGGCCGTTTCCTTGTTAAAGGAGCACACTTGAAGTCTTAGGCATTTTTACTATAGAACATACTCAAGTGATTAAAGAAGCCACCCTTGCGAGAAAAATGCAAACTTTCTTAAAAGTTCTGATATAAGACTTCCTCTTTAATTTTTAGATTCCAGCCACACTGATGTTGATGCAACTTTATACCAGGAAGACCTGGTTGCTGGGGCCCTAATGGTAAGACCAGCCTTTTGTAATGAAGGGGCAGAGTCAGAGCTTGGGGTGGGGGGCTAGTGCCCTTCCCCTTTACCTGCGCCTCTCTCTAAGTCCTCTTCTGAGGGCTGCTCTTTGCTCATACTGCCCCTGAAGTCTTTGTCCCCTGTTCATGTCCCCTAAGGCAGCAAGTCATTCCTTTTGTCTAACGCTTGCCCACCATTACTGTCCCCGGTTCAAGCCTGATTTACTGACTTTAGGTAGGTACCGGATGGCATTCCTAGTTCGCTGTGGTTCCCGGCCTGCCCTTACCCATGATGGAGCCCACAGAGTGGAAACTGGTTCTAAGTCTGTCTTTCCCTGTAGAGGCGATGCCATAGGAAGGTGTTCTAGGAAGAATTTCCAGGTGGGCCATTGAAAGCCCATGTTGTCACGAGATCCCATAGGCTGCTGCTGCCCTGCATCCATCTCCCAGAGCACATACGGGGCCCAGGAACCAGCTGTCTCCTTAGAGGAGTTGATTCTCACCTTTTCCTTTGGGATAAATGAGAACACAGACAATATAATCCGCTGGAGCAACCTACCTGGCCTGTATCACCTGCCGGGATGGTTAGCGTGTGATTTTCCTCTAAAACCACTGTGCTTGTGTGGAGTTTGCCCACATGTGTGTGACTTTCAGTGTCTAGAATAAGGTAGTGACCCTGAAGGAGGAAAGAGGTACCTGTTGAAGTAGTGCACGCAGGCGGAAGGAGGGAGAGCTAGGCGGCCCTGAAAGTAAAGAGCTGGGGTTTCAGCCCTCCCCACAGAGTGTCTCCCCTGGGTGCATCCCCAGTCCCTGACTCAGTCCCACTGCAGTGCTGAGGTTGATACCCCCTCTCTCCAGACGAGGGATGCAGAGGCCACCAGGCTTGCCTCCTGAGTCAAGCAGTGAACTTCCTTTCTTATAAACACACTGATTGGAGTCAGTTCTAGTAGTTGGGTCCTGAACTCACTTAAAAATATTCACATTGTTTAACTTTTATTCTGTTCCAATAATGCTGTTGCAAACCTCCTCAGTCTTGTGTTTTTTGTCTTTTTAATTTCTTTTGGATTGTTACCACTGGATAAATTCCCTAAAATCAGACTCCTGGGTCAGGTGGATTTTCAGAGGAGGTGGACCGCTTTGTACTAAGAGTACGAAGTGAAAGAGTAACTGAGGGACTCTCCCTTCACAGATGTGTCCATTAATGAGCTTGCCAGTTTGTTCCAGAATTCAAGTCCTATCCATACCCAAAAACTCAGAATACTGACTTCTCTTTGGTATCAGCCTGCAGTGCCTCGGAGCCCTTTGAAAAATGAGTTAAGAAGGAAATACTTGACCCAAGTGGATATACTGCTACAAGATGACAGCTGTTTAGAGGTAATCTGCTTCCCGGGATAAATCTTTATATAATTCACTCACAGCGTAGACATGCCTGGGGATACAGGTAATCAGGTTTCATTCACTCTCTGCTAAGCCTGTGAGGTGTTCGGGTGATTGTTCCCTACCGTTTCATTCACAGGCTTGCAGACTTCTCATCCTGAGTAAATGCTCCAGTCTGCTGGGGTAGCACCATCAGGGAGGCTGGTGGGGTGTGCCCTCCGTTACCCACTGTTCTGTTCTGGGATGGCGCATAGAGATCTAGTAGGGCCCCCGCCCATGGAGGGTTTTAAGCTCCATGAATAGAGAGGCTCCCCCATCCTGCCCTCCCCGGTGTGGCCAGGCCCGCAGTGGCAGGGTGACTGCCCACCTGCCCCATGGGCATGCCACGAGGTGTGGTGACGCCCGCTCAGAGGTGGGCCGCCCCTCCGGCCCTGTCCCAGGCAGGTGCCCTCCGCATCCCACTGCAGCCAGCTTCCTGGAGCGTGGCCTGAAGAACAAAATGCTAAATCTGGGGCTTCACATAGGATGCCAACTCTTTAGTTTTCCAAGTTCTGTCAACATCTTTTCATAAAATGAAGGACATTTTAATCCAAATAACTACAAAGTACCTGTTCTGGCATAACTAATTCATCTCCAGCAGCAAACTTAAGAGGAACATATGTGTTCTTGTTATACTGCTGACTGGCAAAGAGTCTGTATCTAAGGACCACTGAATCTGGATGAAGCTTTCTCCTTTGTCCTAAAGCAGTAAGTAGTGCCCCCTGGGTGCTCTGCCAGCCGGGGAAGGAGGGGGTTAGGCAGGGCTCTGCCATCTCATGGAAATGGTGGGCTTCCTCTGCTGCTGTCCAGCTGGCCCTCAGGGGTCTTGCTGTCAGAGTGCAGTGGTGGAGGAAGAAAAGCCACAGATCCCCTGGGAGTTCCTGGCAGACGCAGGGCAGTGGTGGCACTCTGTGCCATGCCCTGGAGGCCACATGGACAAGCTCCCAGACTTTACTAAGACACCTCTTCCCGCCACTGCCAGGAGCCCAGCTGGCCACTGTCATTGTGGGTATACTCGTCACTGCTGCTGCCAGGCTCGGTGCACAGTCTGCCTGAGGGGGAGCAGCTCCTCACACCACCCTGCGGGGCATGGTGCTGGGGGAGAACCATCTTGGGGCGCCCAGAGTCTGCGCCTGGCAACTCCTGTGTTAATGTCATTCGCTTTGATTTCAGTGTACTGATTTCAGAGACGGAAAGGATACACCTGTCACCCTGCCCCCTGCATTGGCCTCGCCTGCCCATCCTGCCCAGGGTGAGTGTGACATGGAAACCTTGTGTGCACTGTGTCCGTCCTCCCTGGGAGAGCCACACTGCTCAGCACAGCCACTGAGCACAGCACCCCGCACCTGGGCACACCTGCTCCCTTGCTGGGCACATTTCATCCATGTAAACTGTTAAGGGACACCTGTGTTCCATAGGCAAATCGTTAAAATTTTTTTAATGAACTGCTTTTTTCTTCTGAGACTAGCCTGTTAATTGCTATTTAGCTCTGTGTCCCAACCCACTCATTTAAAAATACTTGGATCTCCAGAAACAGGACTCATAATCAACACTTTTCACCTATGTTTAACAGTCAACATTTTGCCACATTTTCTTAATCATACACACACACACACAGAGTGTATGTGTATTGGCATTCATTTGTATTACCCCTAAATCGTCACAAGCATCTCCTAAGAAGGGTAATTCACCTATAAAACTTCAGTGAATTTGGCACATGCCAGAAATCTCATATTGACACAACACAGTTTTACCCTGTTGTGCTGGTGAAGCCCTTTGTGGCTTTTTTGTTTGTTTAACCAGTTCAGGATCCACACAGACATCACCCGTGCGCTAGCTGCCTGGGTCCCGCAGGACTCCCGTCCCGCCCACCGCCTTTCCCCTCACTGACTGGAGTGATGGTGGCCTGCCCTCTTGTAGAATGCCCCTCATTTGGACCTGATTGTTTCCTTGAGGTTAAGCTTGTGTTAACATTTTTGGCAAAAATACTGTCTTAGTGGCATTGTGTCTTTGGACACCCCGTTGGTCTGTTCCCTTAGTCTGGGCACCTAGCTGAGAAAGGACCTGCCAGATTTCTCCCTGTGAAAGTGCCCTTTTCATCATCTGTGAGTAAGCCCTGTGATTCCCTTTTCCCCAGAAACCCCACACCCTGTGGGTTTAGCACCCGGTCGTGACTGGCCTGAGCTGGGGCCTGCAAGCCGGGCCTCTTGTGGTTCGGCCATTCCCCCTGTGGGCATTCACTGGCATTCTTCTATAAAGAAGAGCTATCTCCCTTCATTTCTTTCTTGTTTCCTTTTTTTGCTTCCTTTAGCTCCCCACATGCTTTTTTTTCTTTTTTAACTTTTCTAGAATTAATAAGAATTCATGGGCTTTTATTTAATTCATGTGTTAGAATCCTTTCCCAGTATTTGGTTTGATGCTCAAGTCACCCCAAATTTAGCCTGAAAAAGCCCCTTTCACTCTGGCTTCTCTGTGTCTGCTGACCTGTCCCCATCAGCTCTGGAGCACTTAGCTCCCCAACCCCGATTCCGTAGTTGCCTCCACCCCCGGTTGTCACCAGCACCAGTAACTTACCTGGCCAGTCATGCACCACAAAGTAATTTCAGAATCTTAGCACCTGTTACCATTTGCTCAACAACCTGCTAAAGAAGGTTCAAGAACTCTGAGCAGCTCTTATCCTCAGACAATAACCCACTGAGGATGCATGTTCTGAGAATTGTGTTCAATGTTATTTGGGTTCTGTTTTCTCTTTCAGTTGTTAGCAATCTAATTTATAGTTGAGTTCATTTTTCTGTTCTGCATCACTTTTAGAGTTATTCCCATCCGTGTTGGTTTCATTGTATTAAGTACATACAAAATTAACACGCCCAAGCCAAGGCTGTATAAAGAGGTGTGTTCAGGAGTCTTAGCCTGCCCCACCCACCCCTGTAGGTGAAGAGTGTCATTATCTTCGGGTTTCTGATTAGTCTTCGAAAAGGCAACCAACTTCTAAGCCATCACATGGGGAAGGAAGGCTTCTTTGGGGAAGCTCAGGTGGAGAGTAGAAATTTAATTTTGAGAACCAGAAGGAAATCTCTGAGAAGAGTCTACTCCCAAATATTTGTGGGGTTTTTCTCTTGTTGTTTTTCATATCGCTTAAAAAAAGAAATTCTGGTCATGATCCAAGCTTCCGTTCTGTGATCTCTGCATCAGGATGGTTTTGAGTGGTAACACCTCTTTGCCTTTGTGTGTGTGTGTTTTTCTCCAGGACACTGTGCTGGTGTTTCTGGAAAGAGTCCTGGAAGCCCAGTGAAGCCGGCTTCATCTGTGAGAGAGTTTATTCCTTCACATCCTTGCTCCACAGACCTGGCCGTTGTGCCTAGAAGTGATAGTCTCTCCTTACAAGGGGCCAGTGGTGACAGCTTCTCAAGCAGCCAGTCCTTTGAGGCCGACATCTGCAACGTGACGATCAGCGACCTTTATGCAGGCATGCTACACTCGATGAGCCGGCTCCTGAGTGTGAAGCCGTCGTGCATCATCTCCACCAAAACATTCATCGTTCAAAACTGGCACTCGAGGAGGAGGCACCGGTGCAAGAGCAGAATGAACAAAACGTACTGCAGAGGCGGCAGGCAGCCCCGCAGGAGTTCCCAGGACGGCCTTTCCCTCTGTTCTGAGCCAGTGAAAGAGGTGGAAGCACTAAGAGACTGCAAGAACTTGCCGGATGCTTTTGGCCATAACACAGGTTTAAAATTGAGAAAAGCTTTTCCTGAAGCAGACAAACCCCAAATCCATAAATTAGATACAAGTTGGAAGGAGCTTAAGGAAGCTCCCCAGACACTGACTTATGTAGACTCCAGGGCTGTGCATCATCCTGATCAGGAAAATAGATATCTGACATTAAAATGGTTGATTTCTCCTGTGAAAATAGTTTCCAGACCGAGAATACTGTCAGACAGGGGAGGGACTCATTATAGGGAGATCGAACTCAGATTTGATAAGCTTCATCAGGAATATTGCCTGAGTCCCCGGAAGCAGCCTGCCCTGGCTTACCGGCCCTACTCCTTGGCTATGGATGTGTACAGAGGAGGTCCTGCAAGCCCTGGGGTCCCCCGGGGGTTCGAAACCTACAGGCCAAGTAGACCTTCCATCAGAGCAAAAGCTAAGAGGTTAAATGAAGCTTTGGAAAACCTGGACCCAAGAGCCCCCGAAGTGGGCGGTCACCTGCCAAAGAGAGGTTCCTCTCCCTTGTCATCAGAGACCGGCCCTGCGCAGGGCCTAGGCCGCTCTGAGCGGATAGCTGACCTCTTCCAAGGGAACAGTCTCGGAATATTTAGAAAGTCACTATCACCCAGAAAAGCTATTTCAGTACCCAGGGCACAGTCTCCGGGCATCAGAAGAGATCGTTACGGTGAAATCAAAGAAAAATTTGACAAGCTTCATCAAAAGTATTGTCAAAAATCCCCTGTGCAGATGAAGGTGCCTTTAGGTACTGGAGCGTCTCTAGACAAAGCAAGTGTAGTTCAGTATCAGAAAGAAGACTTTTTAGGAAAATTTCATCTGCACTCTGGCATCCGTAAGTTGTCATCATCCCCCCAGCAGAGCACAAAAAGTCCCCTGGGTCTGACCCCAGTTGAGGTTCATCCATCTCCATGCTTTGCGCTCACCGTCAGTCAGGGCCATCAGTCCCCCGCCAAGAGATGCCGATTGTCAGACCCTCCGATGTACGGGCAGCGGGCCAATTCCCCGGATTCTTCGTGTGTGCCGGGCAGAGCCCTCTCAAGGCCCGGGGAGGAGCCTGGCTTACAGCACAACTGGGAAGAGAAGGTTCGTATCTGTTTGTTGAATATGGGTGTCAGTTCTTCTGTAAGTGTTCATTTTGCAGACTTTATCCCAAATTCTTTTCTGTCCTCTTAAGATCCACATTTATATTGAAAATATGTTCATGTGTAAGGTTCGTCCATGTGGAGCTGAAAATGTTCTTACAGGGAAAGCTTTCTCCCAGCTACGACGGGAGAAGGTGGGGTGGGACAAGCCAGTGTTTGTTAAACTTCCACATGAGAGGCAGATGCCTCAGTGTCGTCAAGCCCAGGTTCTGCGTGCTGGTTCTTACACTGCTGATGGGGTGGACCTGCTGTGGGTTCAGCTTGGCCGGTTCGGGAGTCCGTGTTGGTGGTGAGGCCGTACGTACCACCTTCCCCAAACCAGGAGGCCCCCAGCGGTCACTCCAGTCATTGCCATAGTCCATCTGAACATAGCCGGGGACAGCACCTTCTCCTGGGAGACAGCTTCTCCCTCCCCCAAGCTGCCCCCGGCACCAAGTTCCTTCTGTTCCCACAGGAGGCATGTCAGGATCACATTTGTCAGGTGCTCGGCCCTCGGCCCAAGAGCCCTCCCGGAGGTTTCTCCCGGCCCTGGCCAGAGTACCCGCCCTTCTAAGCCTGAGCCTCGTGTAGCTCCCCTCTGACCGGTTCCTCACCGTCGGCTTGCCCTCTGCCTTCTCCCACCTTGTCCCCGGCTGGCTCACACCATGAGGCTGCCTGCCGACCAGGACATGGTGGGGCCCTCATGCCAGCCCCCTCCTGCCTCCCCAGCGTCCCGCCCTCACCTGGTGCCTCCTGAGACCCTCCTTCCCGGTGCCCCGTCTGGTCACCTCGAGCTGGGCCATGAGCCTGGGAAGGCAGGACTGCGAGGACACTCGGCCCCTGCCTGCCTGGTGGGGGCCCTCTGGCTCCCCTGGGATTCCATCTATCATTGCAGGGCCTTTTCCAGGTTTGTCTTAAACCATGACATAAACATACTTCACCATTTTCCTATTTTTCTTCCTTACCTACTTAAATCATAAATTTCCTGAGCAAAGAGACCAAACCTTCATGAGCTATGACTACATGAGGAATTTTAACAGCTGGCACCGAGTGCCTCCTGGGCGCCAGGCCCCAGGACCCTTCCTTACCCCTTCCTTCCTTAACCTCCACGTGACCCTCTGATTAGTGGGTTCCGCTCATTGGGCAGGCAGAGGCGGAGGAGGCGCAGCTCGGGTCTTAGAACTGAATCCACACAGTGCACAGCTGGGCCGGGCGAAAGCCTCTGGACTCTACTGCCAGGTGCCGCTGCCTGCTTTACAGGTTTCCATTAGTTTTTAAGCCTTTTTTTTTTTAAACACTCCTGACAGTATTTTTAAAGCATGGTGGCATATTCCACACTGGACACACAAATATATCTATACAATGAAATAAATATAAAACAGTTAAGCTTTTGGTGGCTGGCACTGGGAATTCTGCGAATTTTACTGAAATCATTGTCATTTTCTTCCCTAGAGAGAAGAGCAACCCATCTTTCAGAATGGAAGAGAAAAGTGATTTTGTGTCAGAAAAATTCAAAGGTGGAAGTCTACAGCCAAGTTATTTTGGAGTGTGGCGCCTCTTCTTTCTTACTCTGTCGTGTGTGTTTTAATTCTTCAAACCATATGAGAACAGAGCTTGTTTCACCTGTCTGCCCTTCAAAGCAAATGTCAGTGCAATGCATTCCACTGAGATGACACTGAGTTCTTGGTGTAGAAATTATTTGAATAAAGTTGCTCAACTAAAATTTTTAATGTTATCCTTTATAGGGCTATTTTCCTAATTCAGTTTAGATATGTACACAGAATTCTTTCTTCCATTTTCTATTTTGTTAGAGATTATTATTTGCTATGAAAGTTTAAGTCCTAGATAGGATGGGCAGGCAAATACAGGTGTAAGTCTTTTATTCAGAACCATGGGATTTTGTATCTCCCATATTAGGAGGTAGCAAATTAAAACAATATAACTCATCCATCAAAAATAATTCTGAACATCTTAATGTTTCCAGAAGAAAACCTGCTGTATTTAAACAGGCCTGTGATGGCCCCAGAACACTCGGGCAGCCACATGGCATCCATGACATCTTAGTTTTCATTGGAGCTGTTTTATGACAGCATATCAGAGTGACTCTCAATAAAAACTCAGATATCCAGCACACAGTGACTCAGCCCACGTCCCGACCACCCTGAGTAAATAGTTGTCATGGGTTTTTTTATTTTAAAATGTTTGAGATGAGATTGAATACCACACCTTTCCTTCCTGTCCTCAGGCCTAGGTGACCACTCTCCTGGTACTGATACTGTACCCTTTCCACCCGCACCTTTGTGCTGGGACCACGTTGCCTGTGTGCGTAAGCTTGGGCTAACTGACTGTTCACAGTTCTGGAGGCTGGAAGTCAGATCAGACTGGTGAAGGCCCTTGCCTGGCTTGGAGATGGCTGCCTTCCCACTGTGTCCCCAGGTACATGGGGTGGGGAGTGTGCACCCTGGTGTCTCCCTAAGGGCATCAATCTCTGTGCAGGACCCACCCTCATCTAGCTCCCAAAGGCATCTCAGATACCGTCATATTGGGGTGGGACTTCCACATGTGAATCTGGGGGAGGGAGGTGTGTTCAGGCCAGAGCCCCGGGAATCAGGAAGACCTGCTTTGCCTGATGCTGAGAACCTGGCAGAGAGCCTCACCCGTGCAGGGGGCTCACATCCTCAGGACAGGCTGGCAGGACTGCTGGCTCACACTCTGCCAGGGCTAAAGAGGCCCCTGGGATTCTTCCAGACCTTTCCCTCATGCCTACAGCCCAGCCTTTCCTCGTGGGGAAAACAATTACCCTTGCCCCAAACTGCTTGTTCTGTGTTCACATCCACCCCAGTCCATACCCCACAGGCCTTGCTGAGGCCTCACTGGCCAGGCCTCGGTGCTGGAAAGGCTGGGAAATTGGGTTTTGATGCTCTACCATCCAGTGACGGAAGGCGAGGTGTAAGAGATTAGGTAGGTCCTAGCCAGCCTGTAGGACCTGCCCATAAAGACCCCATAAACTACATACAGAATGGTGTCCTTGACTTTCCCATACTTCAGTCCTGTGTGTTCTGCAACTCTTTCACCAAGAGGTGTGTGCAGTAGGCAGGAGCTGATGCATGAGGGTGTCTTCTCTGAAGAGCCCTGGGGAGCTGGCTCACTGCATCCTCGTAGGTGCTGGCTGCTAAGAACATTGGCCGTGATCCTCTCGCATGTGTGGGCTGACCTGTGACCCACGCCCGGTGGTGACTTAGCCATGGATCTGTGACTTCAAATTCCCTAATTGCCAAATTCTTTCCCAAATGGCTATTCCAGTTTGCATTCCGTCCAGCAATAGAAGAGATCCCTTTTCCCCACGTTACTGCCCCCAGTCGGTGCCACTGTCTTGGGAGTGAACTGCATGGCACTCTGCATGTCTACCTGGGGGTACTGGCTTTTCCAGGTTCCTCTCATGACACTGGTTTTTAATTTGCTTTGTTTCTTAACTGATTGGAGTACATTCCAGTTGCCGGTCTAATTACACCTACAGTCTAGTTTTATATAAATCCCAAATAAGTTTTCCATCTCATTTGTCACTGAACTTCATAGTATTTTACTCTGCAGAAGTTACATTTTAACATAGGAAGGTCAGTCCTTTATTTTGTCTGGTTTCTGCTATTACTTTTTAAGGCTAACGTCTTGGGGTCAAAAATACTCTTATCTTACATTTTTGATTTTCAGGCCTCGGTCTATAAGCCATCTGGAAATGCTGGGCACAGCACGAAGGGATCAGAGGCCCGGCTGTACATGGGCACAGCTCTCCCCAGAACCTGCTATGACTGGCGCCCCGCTTCCACCTGTGCCCGTGCCATTCAGGTCTATCAGCAGCAACGCTCTTCATTATGTGGCAAAAAATAACTTCACCATCTATCCCGTGGGAGCCACCCAGCGGTATGGAACCCGCTGCTCTGGGAAGCCTCTGGCGAGGGGTGACTGACTGCACAGCAGCCTGTCCTGCCAGCGCAGCCCAGAGTGGTGGCTGCATGTGGCAGTTGTGGGGACAGTTTACCTGCTGGGGGATGACCAGAGGCTATCCTGCTGATGGCCAGAGTGTAGGAAAGTTTCCCTGCACGCCTCCCTCTCCCCCTGCCTGTCTTTTGGACATGGAGCTCATTTATACTGTTGGTCCTCAGCCAGGTTCTGTTCTGGGCCTTCCTGGGTGCCTGCCCCGGCCTACCCCACCAGGCTCTGGTGCAATGAATGGCCCCGCCTGCCCCGCCCCGTGCCCCCATGGCACCTCCAGCCGGGCTGCTGTCCTCTCAATGATGTGCCTCCCAGTCAGCCGTCAGATGCCTCCTTTCCTTTAAAGGGTGGCGCCCAGGGCTGGGGGGCAGAGGCCGCTGGAAGCTGGCTCCTCTCCCTGCTCGGCCCAGCACCTGGCAGCAGACATACCTTCAGCATAGGGTGGACTGAAATGCCAGTGAGGACAAAGGGACCCAGATCTCCAGCGCGAGGGGCTGTCTGGCATTCCCTCACCCTGGGGGAGCAGGAAGGACATGGCCTTGGGACTGCGGTCTCCCTTGCCCCACTGCAAGGGGCTCTGGGATGCCATCACCACACCGAGGCAGGCATTGGCATGGCAAGTGGCAAGGGAGGTGTATGGCAGTGAGAGGAAAGAAAAGGACACAGATGATTTTTGAACAATGCTTTTCTTACAAACTAATTTAAAACTGGTTGGCATCACCATGGTAGGGGTTGGCATTCTGAGCAGTCAGTTTTACAGCATACATCCAGACTACCTAGGAAATTACTTCTGGTGAAGCCAAAAGCTGGTGCTGACTACGGGTATCCAAGATTTTGGGAGTCCAGGGCTGCCCTCGGGACGGCAGCATCCGAGTCCAGCTGTACCTCCTGGAGAGCTGAGTGTGAGCATCAGAGGAAAGGGTCAGGCCCGTGGCCTCCGCCCCAGGCAGCTGTGCTGATGGAGGGCCCCAGAAGCTGACCTGGGCTGGGGGCCCACAGGAGCTGCAGACTTGGGGTCCCCTGTATTTGAAGTCAGAAGTCAACAGGAGACCTGTGTCTTCACACCCACCTGTCACCTCGTGGGCCCCCTTTACTTCTCTAACTGGGACTCAAGGGTCAGCCACAGAGCCCGCTGCTGCATGAATCAGCTGAAGGAATCAGGGCCAAAGCATTTCCTGAGTACTTGTGGAGGGGCGGGGGGCAGAGGCACAGGGAAGGAGGGACCCCGCCCGTCACATGGTTGTCTTCCGGGAAAGCCCTCCACAGGTTCGTCTATTGCTCTGTGCCCTGGTTACACACACACCAGCACCACCACCACCACCACTACCACCACCACCACCACCACCACAAAAGTGCAACAATGGTTCAGCTTGCTTTTTTCGCAGGCAGTTTCACTAAGCTCACCAAATGAGCTCGTGGACTCAATATAATTGAGTCTCCACTACTTACAATTCCGTAATGCTGGGAAGTCCAGTTTTTTCAGATGACATGCAGATATCTGCCTCATAATAATTCCTAAAGCAATTGCCAGGGGAAATGCTCATCCCATGAAATAAAAGGCCTGTGAGAAATCTGGTTTTATGGTAGGAGGATTATCTGCTAATTCCCACACCTAGGTGAGAATCAGGCAGGCAGGGAGCACAGTGGGATGGCACCCACGGAGGGAGACTTCCACCTGAGCTCTGGTCCCTGCTGTACCCCCATCCCCTCCCCCTCCAGACCCGGGCCTGGCCCAATGGCCTTCAAGTTTCCCCCATGTCAGGAGACATCCACCTGCTCACCTGCCAGGTTGCATGCGGCAATTCTAATCCTTAACAAGTTACTTCCAACATAGGTCATCGTTGCTAACAAGAAGCTATAAAGAACAGCAGGCTTTTTCTGAGTCTGCAAAACCCAAGTGATGCACAGAGACATGAAGGATGAGGTCCTGGAGGCCAACTGCTCACCAAGCGTGTTCCCACCTGTCTGATGAGGGAGGGTCTTCCCAGAGAGGGCAAGTGTCCATCCCAGCATCACATAGTAAATCAGTCCAGGCAATGTAAGGACCTTCAGCCCCCTGTTACATTCTGTCTGACCCAGACAGGTGACATTTGTCCACAACCTGCACGGCTGTCCAACGTGGCAGCTGCTGGCCCATGTGGCCCTGGAGCACTGAAAATGTGGCTAGTCAGAATTAAGTGTAAAATAAACTCCTCCTGGATTCTGAAGACAGTTCCCCCAAAATGTAAAATATCACATTAATTATTTTAATATTGACTACATGATGAAATGATAATGATTTGGATCTACTGGGTTAAATAAAATCTTATTACTAAGATTGGTTTAACCTTTTTTCACTTTTCTTAACTAGAAAATTTAAAGTGGGTGTGTTGCCTATGTTCTATTTCTGTTGGACAACATTGATCTTGACGCTTCATGTCTAGAAGGTGAACACAGGGTCACAGGATAGCAGGCCGTGCCTAAGCCCCTAAGCCCCATCCACCAGGCTCCCCTTCCAACAGGTCCATCCCCACAGCCTCCTCACCAGTATGGAGCACAGGGTTACTTGCAAATTGGTCATCTCCTGGGCTACGCTGGTGTCACTTCGGCCTGAGGAACTCCCCAGAGACTTCCAGCCCCAGAAGTGCACACGCTGAAACATGGTAGCCATGCAGGCCTAGAGGGACGCCGGGCACAGGACAGCAGGGAAGGCGTCAGGCTGACACAGGGCGCACATGAGGGATGGGGCTGGTC